CACAAAACAGATCACCGGCACCTCATGGTGTAGCTCCAATGAACTCTCTCGATCACTCAACGCACGGTTCAGCAACACATTGTAGCAAGCAGCCCAGTTCTTGTGTGTTGATGGGACGTTGCAAGGAAACAACTGACGGACGATGCGCGCCAGTGTGGCTTGAGGCGGAAACTCTGGATCCGGAGGTGCTTGCCAACGCGTGGTGTCCTCGTGGATTGGCAGCCTGTCATGCCAAGCCGTGAGGCAAGAACGCAGCATTGACATGGCTGTTGGCTTGTACAAGGACCACCTACGTCGTTGGCTGCCGGATCCAGAGTGGCCGGCTTCACCAAGGAAATGCTTGATGCAAGCCCGGCTCGATTGCAACTCAACAGAAGCGTTGGGGCAACGCTCTGCAGTTAGTTTGAGCTGCTTGTTCACCCGCTCGTTTTCCCGCGTGTCGGCTTGCCAGACTCTGGCCACACCACGCATACAAACCCGTAATGGCCCAACAAGCACACCCTGACTAGAAGCCACAGTCAAGTCTGCTTTGAACAGCGACCGAACTTTGCGAGCATTTATCTCCAAATGTTCTGGCTTTTCCGACAGCAGCTCGTGTGCGACCTGTTTGCGCTCATCACAACAATCGGAGTCAGGCGCTTTCACCAGCAACATGAGTCTGTGTGGATACGCCTGCAAAGAATCCAGAACCCTTCGATGGAAACACGATGCGTTGTGAAGGACCTGTGCAAACGCCAGATACATGAGCCACGCAGCGTCGTCATCACTCTCCAGTTCAGTTCGAGAAAGAATGGCACTCCATTGTGACGACGAACCTGAATGTGTGCTCAATCACATGAACATTAACATGCCTGCATGGACTCGACTATGATCAATCAGAGTCGCATGAATCATGAACATCTCTGTGAAACAACGGGGCCGTAACGCATGAATGCTGTTCAACGCATCTATCTGGACTCTTGTCATGCATGACTGATTCTCGTGACCACAACGGTTAAGTAGCATAACATCATAACCGAATCATTGCCGAATCATAACCAGTGACCCCAGACCATTTCGTCGAACGCTTGCCCGATTTGTGCCCCCTTTCCAACCACCAGCCGGAACATGGGAGCATTGTCCATGGGCAAGACCTTGGCCTTTAAGTAGTTGCTGAGGTGGATGAAGGGTTTGCGGCACAGATTCATCACCTGCACCACGCCATCGAACAAGGGGTCACGCAGAGTGGACATGGAACTTGTCCGCCACCTGCCCATGCGCTTCCGGTACTCCTTCTTCTCCTCAACGGCCAGCATGTCGACATCGCACGCATCATCATTAGCTTGATCATTGTACGCCGTGTATTCGAACACTCGCATCATTGTGGCTCGCAGCTCAGGCACTCCAGCATTCAAGAGGCGGGTTTCCGTCAAGTCTATCGACCCCCATCGCTCTGCAATGCACCTGGGAAACAAAGTCCTCACACATTTGTTAGCAGATGCATCCCCATGAAGTGCGCGCCAGGCAGAGTACAGGTCTTGTGAGATGTCACGGAGAATGTTGGTAAGCATGGCCACACTAGAGAAGTATTTCCACTTGCGTCTGCCAGCAAGCAACGAATCCACCAGCTTCAATCCACCGAGTACACCCAGATGTGCCTGATGTTCGTAACAATCCGCCGGAAGGAAGAAACACCATGGAACATCCATCAATTTGGCCTGCACAACCTTCTTCGTCCAAATCTCATTCGGACCACGATCTGTGGTGCACATGATCCATACGTAGTTGTTGTCGGTCCTGAGGCTAAATGTGCATGTCACCCCATATGGGCCATGGATCATGGAGCATAGAGAAACATTGAATCAAACTTGGCAACGTGGACTATGTACCCTGTACTACACGTGTCATGAGACCATGAGTCGTGGGACGAGGAATGTGAACATGGCGTGGTACCTTTACTGCGACTCAATCAGACTCAATCATGACCTACATCACGTGATGCACAAGAGTCGAAGTCAGCCCATCTAACCAGTCGTTCTGGTTTTGTGTTCACTATCTTCGTCTCTTCATGCTGAGACTCTGTCACAATTCAAATGTGGCATCAAACAATGCAGCTACCCAAAAGCTGACACATGTACACACACACACACCCCACGACTCCACGACATCACTCCGACATGACGACACCGACATCGACACTGACGTGACACCATATATATCAAATCCTCTCTGGAATTCATGGATCCCAACGTTACGATGTGGCAGATGCGATCGGGGCACACAGTGCCAGTCTCATGTTGTTCCACAAATGTATCCCAGGTCGGACAGCCCAAACTTTCAAGCATCTTCTTGCACAAGGCCAACGTCGCAGGACCATCGCCACGGTGAACGGGGAGTACGTCCGCCAACCTTCTTATGCAGGTTAGGTCCTTGGAACTCAATCTCTGCAGGTCCTGTCGGGCAGCTACGACATAGGAGGCCTGCAACTCGAGCGCTGTCATCTTGGAGCGGTGCTTGGATGAGTTCGTTGCGTCCTCCCTGTACTGCAGCCACAGGAAGGAGCAACGCTCCTCTGCATCGTGACAGTCCGACAGCTCTGAGTCCCGTTGTTGGAAAAACAGGCGTGCGGATGCTACCAGGGCCGCTGCTGATCGACACTCCGCTCTCAGGACTGTTTGTTTGCTGCAGTCGTCCATGATGACCAAACCCAAGTCTTCCGCACTGCAGTTGGACATGTTGCGCCTGATGGCTAGCGACAACGTTCCTTCAGGAGTGAGCCATCCGAGAGAGCGTCGTGTGCGGCCCGGTTCCTGGTTATCAATGTCGATGTGATCTTCAGCAGCTAAGCGCTTTTTCTTGACACTGAAATATTCATCGATTTTGTTGGACTCAAGGCAACGAACCTCCTTTTTCTTGGCCTTCTCCGACTTCACTCGTGTGATGTTCAACGTCTGTTGGGACTCCCGTTCCATGGTCTTCACAGTATCTGAACGGAACTCATCCAATTGCTTCTGAAGTCGTGTACATCTCTGTCGGTAGAACTTCAAAGTCTTGGCCTGGTTCTTGATTTTGGCATCTTTGGTTGCAAGAAGTCTTTGGACCAACTGCAAAGAGATCGAACCTGAACCTGCATTGCGTCGCTCCGGACCAATTTGACCCTGACTAGATTGAACGTCACGAAGGTCATCAAGGTTAGTGTCAACACCACCCCCAGATCCACAAGCATCATCAGACTGACCGTCCACTCGAGCATCTCTCGCTCTCGCAACCCCGACATTGGCACACAGGTTCTGCTTGAGGCGATGCCACTCATCAGGTCTGAATGATAATGCGTGGATATCCTCCAGCACACAGAGGAGGATGTCGAAGTCAAACATCTGTTCACCACTTTCTGTGTGCCCCTCGTGCACGAACAAGCGTCCAGTGGTTGTCATGAAATGATCAAATTCGAATCCTCGCACGGCTGCCCCACCGGCGCGAGAATAATTACCTGCTTGACATATCGAATAGATATCGGATCTGGTCACACGCAAACGACCATCTACTCCGACTCCGGAAGCACATGCACATTTCTGTAGCAAATTGAGCAGCACTGGATGGATTGCCAATGATGGCAACGACATGGCCGGGTATATGCGATGAAGGTTACCGAGATTAGGCTAATAGGCTACCGTGGGCTCGAAAACCTCGACTCATAAGATGTGAGATGGAGCTGATGCCATCAGCTCGCACACAGTCAGCGTCCCGTGCCGTGTACATGACTACATGACAGTGTAAGTGTACGTGTACATGTCACTGCCACTGCATGTCTGCCAGCCTAGCTGCTAGAGCAAAATGCTGCATGCACTGCATGCATGCATCAATGAATGGCCACACTGCTAGAGCAAAATAATGCATGTATGCATAACTCAATGCATGACGCATGACTCATGACCACATGGAGTTCGTGACGGCTGACTCGTGCAACATGATTCGTGTCGCAGGAGGGTTCTTGCTTCATGGCTCATGCTGACTCATGCTAGTTCAAGTCCATGTTACTGCAAAGTCGTAGCAGCCATGAGCACATTAACACATGTAGTCAGTCACATGACTTGGCTCGCATGAACGACAAGACTTGTCAGAGCAACAACAAAAAACATCGGACCACTCGGACCACGACCAAAAAACAACATCATCTTAACAACACAAACAACAACCAACAACAACCAACCAACAAACAAACAAACAA